CCTATCACGGACCCTTCAAAGTTTTATACTCAGACGGAGAAGGCGCCCTGAATAACGATGCCGCTAAACCATGATGGCCAATAAGGGCACGGAACTTCGCATCCGAGCACCTGGCCAACGCGCGACTTCAATTGAGTCACGAAACGGCATTCTCAGAGGCGTCCTCCACATGATTGAGGAAGAATTGAATAGACACAACATCCCTGTTGTATTCACTAGAGTATTGGCGGAAGGCATCTTCGTTACTAATGCGTTTACGTTTTATAACGGAGTATCGCCATATCAGGCACACACAGGACGTCAGCCCTCCTTCCTTCCTGATCTCGATACCCTTGACTTTCCCAAGGGACCCGAGACTTCAGGACACGAACGAGAACGTCGTGTAAGGGAAGTCAGCCTAGAAGCTATAAGCCAAGACAAATCGGGCTCTTAGGGCTAAGACGACTCCTGATGGTGCTCGCCTCTACTCATCAGGGGATTTGGTCGACTACCACCGACCTACTGCCACCAAGGACGACCATGGAGGCTGGAACGGCCCATTCCCGGTGATCCGAAATGTGCCTGAAAGAGGACATATTGTTGTCAAGGCAGGATCTCGTGAGGTAATTGTGATGTATCCTGATGCTCGTCACGCACTATACATCGAATGTCTCCTCACACGGGAACTTGGCATGGATAATATGGCCATGCAAACCGTCCTTGCTTATGTGGCACATCTCAGCGCAGGGAAACCTGCCAAAGTTTTCGGGTATATCCCCGATTACAAGGGAAACCTTAATCTGTCAGACGACAGCAAGTTTCACCCGCGCGTACACTTAGCACTACAGTATCTCGTACGAAATTACTTCCGAGTAGAACATGTAGTAGCAGTTCGATTGGCTAAGAGTGTGTCAAGCCTACCTGCAGTAAAGTACGCCACCGGGTCTACGCTGATCCACTATGACAACGACATCAGCCCGGCGTTCCACTATTACGAATGTGTGGGCACTGGCTTAAACATTTCTCAGATCACTGGTAGCACTCACTCCAGACTTATTCAATGCTTGACTTCACGTGTCCCTTCCTTAGGATTTCACGACGATTTGGCTAAATATCAGCATCCAAGCAACACGTCTGGAGAACACGAGTCGCCTGGAAACAGGCCTTCTCCAGACACACCAGATGCTTCATCGCCGAGCGAAGGCCGTCTGTCGACAATCTATGAGGAAAATGAGGAACACAATATCGAAGCTATGATGCTGGAAGAGTGGTACGACGAGCTACGTATGGACCTTCATCCTACGACGATTACCGATGATTATCTTTATTGCGTCCCAACAACTATGCTGCCCGACCAATGTGTTTTGGTTTCAGCATTTGCGGACGAAGATGATATTACATCATCAGATATGCTCGGAGACGAGCCGAAATCATGTGAGTCCTGTCTAGTATCTCTTTGTTCGAACACAACCGACGAGAGCTACTCTCTAGACAGTGATGAATACGGTCCTTACGTTGAACTATGCTTTACATCAGAAGTGTCAAAAATAGTGTTGGGTCAGACTCAACTTGCACAGCTCGATACCGATATGGTCGCAACGATGAGAGTATATGTATTCTCTGCTGCTAAACGTGTTGCGGTCGTCAAAGAAGATGATCTACTGACCAAAGCCGACGTAGCAGCACATCCAAAGGAGGTTAGTGAAGCCTTATATACTGAGCTCAAAATCTGGATTGATACCCGATGCTTTGAGATGTACGATTTATCCAAAGCTTCCAACATCATGACATCCAGATACGTATGCAAGTGGAAGTTCGTAAAGATGGGTACCGAGAACGTTAAAACCATTCGTCTCAGACTGGTCCTTCGTGGATTTATGGATACTGAGGCTTTTGATGTGGAAACATTCTCGGGAACCGCCCGAAGGCAGTCCCAACGACTCCTGGCAAGTGAAGCGGCATGTCATCCAGAGTGGATCTTAGCATCCATGGATATCGATAAGGCGTTCCTAAAAGGTTTGACCTATGAGGAACTTGCCCATGCCACTGGCGAGGAAACTCGCATGGTTTGCTTTACTCTTCCACCAGGAAGCGCTCAGGTACTTCGTACCTTACCCGGCTTCTCATCCCACGACGAAAGTCGACACTGTCTTAGATGCCTCAAACCAGGAACGGGTACTAAGGACGCTCCAAGAGCGTTCTCTCTCAAACTTCGTACGACCACACGAGCTATAGGACTCGCACCGACCAGTTACGATCCTGAATTTGAATTCAGCCAAGACCTTCTGACGGCAAAACATGTCGATGATATTAACATGACAGGTCTAGAGAAAAATATAGACGACTATGTACAACGTGTCGAAAAGGTATTTGGCACATGCAAGCTCAACAAGCACACATATACGAACTGCGCCGTTCGCTACACTAAGAATGATCAGGGAGATGTGATCATGGACCAGGACGAGTATATTAAACAACTACGTCCTATCACACACCCAGAACTTACAGGAGCGGCGGCCGACGCCAAAGCCGCGAATCTCATTACCGACATGTTTGTCAGCCTGCGAGGAGCCCTCGCCTATGCCCTTCTTACCCAAATCTGGCTTATGGTATATGTGGTCTCTCTTCAGAAAATTCAAGAGCCCACCAATTTGCAAGTCAGACGTTTGAATGCTGTGACGCGAAAGCTGATCAGCAGTCCGAAACGCATCACCTTCCCTCGGATGAAGCCGACGAATGAAGTTGACATCCATAGCGATTCGGGGTATCGGAAGCTTACCGGGGAGGAGGATGACGAGACCAAGGGCTACGGCATGCGCGGGGCCAACGTACTACGGCGAGGAAACTCGCCCCAAGGCAAGTCCGTCGTTCACCTCTGTGACGGACTATGCAAATCACACCGATTACAGGTGAGGTCCAGTTATGCTGCGGAGGCACTTGCAGCCGCACATAACCTTGATGAGTGTTACCCTACGCTCATTACTCTCCACGAGCTCAAGGCAGGGGCTTTGACTCCACGACAACTACGAGACATGCGCGAAGTTGGAGGCCTTGCTATCAAAGTCTCTCTTACCATAGACGCCGAGTCCGTCTACAAATCTTTATCAAGCAGGGATCTCAAAATACCAACATAACGGACTCTGCTTGGACATATCAGCTGGATACGTGAGCTCATGGATATAGGTATAGTACATGATGTGCAATGGTGTGATACTAGGGATATGACCGCAGATGGACATACAAAGGGAAGCATCGATCGGGAGCTGCTTCTGGGAGTGATGTCAGGCACTCAGTCATTTAAGTATGACGTGAAGCAATTTGTTCCCTTTCGGGGTCCCGAGGACAGAGACAAACCTAAGTCTAATCAATTGTAGTCTGTCCTTGTTGCCCTCGCGGTCCAGTTTGCCAGCACGGGCGCCTACTATAAAGGCGCCCCTTTAGCTGCTCGGAAACGAGCCTTATATTTCACGCCTGGCAACGAGCCGGCTTCGTACAACTCAGGCTCTTTGCCTTAATACACATTTGCTTGGTGAGGTATGGCCTAATTTTGGCTTACCTCTAACTGAGCCGATAGCCCTTCATTGTTTGAAGGGGCTGTCCTGTATTTGCGTGAAATACTTTGCGAGGAAACTCGCCTTACAGTCTGGTGTTTGACCAGACTGTACGCACTGTTTTCTTTTCTTTGCAAACAGTCGTGCGCGCGATCTTTGCGTGCGACTATGCTCTCCGTCTCCTCCCCTCCCGACTTTAAGGGTAGCTCTTTGGGAGATGTTACAGTATCGGGAGCATAGCTCGCGCGCCGTTGCCTTTGGCCCAAGGCACGCGCGCCCTATTTGCCCGGACACCGCGAGTGTTCGCTATGTGCTGGAAAGATCATTACATCGATCTTATCCTATCTTACTCATCCACCCCTTATACTGTACCTTCACAGCAGAGCGATGGATGCAATTTGCCAAGCTATATGCCATATTTGAGCTACCAGGCTCACTTTCGACTTCTTGGAGTTCTTATAGGATATTCCTGGTGACTCAATTCGGTTTCCTGGGCCGCGCGGGGGGTCCGGGACCGCGCGGGGACCGCGCGAAGGTTTCGGGATCGCGTGGGGGGAGGCGTATGTAGGTGGCGACCACCCCCGGGACCCCCCCCCCAGCCTGGCGCGGGGAAGGGATCAAGGGGACAAAGGGAAGGGGCTTTCTTGGGGCTTTCTTTCGATTGCGACATTGCGAAATTTCATCTCTCGTTGGCAGGCTTGAGGAGGGTGCAGGGAAAGGGAGCGACGCAGACGACGACTGACGGAGACGACGATACGAACAGACAAACCCCTCGCACACGCCGACAGGGTCGGCGGATTCCTCTCTTCGGGGCTGTCCTTTGGCCAGCTCTGGGGGAAACGAGCAATCAGGAAGAGGAGGAGGAGGAGGAGGAAAAGGAGGACAGGGGACTGGGGCGAACCCAAGACGCATCAGCGAAGACAGCCGTTCGAGAATCCCCAATCGTGCTTGCGCATTATTCTTGCGAATATACGTGACCGCTGCTCCCCGATAGTCCTAAATCGCGCAGGACACCACTGGAACTTCAGCCGCACGACTTTTTGTACGTGTTGCGAGTTTGTAGAACGAATGTTTTCGGCGCGGAGGCGAGCGCCAAATTTTGACAGGGGACCGACCTCCACCCCTGAAGCTGTTCCAAATTTTGAGACGAACTTGCGCGGCGCCGAGGCGGGAACCACATCTTGAAACGGACCCGTCCTCCGTCTTCGAAAGGTGTTGCAAACTTTGAACAACGAACGTGCGCGGCGCTGCGGCGAGAGCCGCGTTTTCAGAACCATCCGCCCCGAATCCGTGGAAACTGTTACAAATTGCAAGCTTCATGATCATGAGTGGTGGAAAGTCTCAGGTTTCAAAACCGCGTTCGCTTCTGGTGGTGCGGGAAGCAGGAAGTTTCTATAAGCAAAATGGTGTAGCAGGAGGAGGGCAAGGAAGCGGAGCGAGGCAGGGCCGACCCAGCTCCCCCCCCCTCAGGCCGAGCTGGGTGCCGCTTCGCGCGACCTCGTGCACGCGAGCTGGCGCCTGCTGGGGCAGCTCGCCGCCTGGGGCGGCCAGGACCGGCCGGCTGCTGCGTCGTCGTCGTCGTCGTCGTGGTCGTGGTCGTGGTCATGGTCGTGGTCGCGGTCGTGGTCGTGGTCGTGGTCGTCGCGGTCGTGGTCGTCACCGTCGTGGTCGTCGTCCTCGTTTTCTTGGTCGTGGTCGTGGTCATTGTCGTGGTCGTCGTCGCGGTCGTCGTCGTGGTGGTCGTGGTCGTTGCCGTCGTCGTCGTCGTCGTCATATTCGGTTTGTTTTGTTTTCGCCAGCCTTTTTTCTAAAATATTTATATTTGTTATTGCTGTTATGTGTTGTCTTCTTCTGCCCGTTTCCCATCCTATTCGAACGGTCGCTCATTTGTCCCTTCTTACTTCTGTTTGTTGTAATGGGTTCCACTGTCAGCTGCCTTTTGTGCTGTGGGACCGGGAGGATCTCTTCCCGTGCGCCTTGCGTGTACGCTGATGCAGAAATCATCTGCCTTATTCATTATTCCCACCTCTATTTCCTTATTTCCAGTTGGTAGTGGAACGCGACATTTGTTTCTCGGTTCGCGTCGACCGCAATGGCTTCCACCCTCCGCCGCTTGTGACGTCGGTCAACCACCTTCAACATTTGCGCCTTCGTGCATTGCGTCCCCTTCGCCATGGCAGGCGGCGTTGCTTTAGGGTCCGTCGGGGCTGGACCAGCCCATCCGCCAGGACCCGCCACAACCGCATTCAACACGTGTGCTTTCGTGCACTTCTTTCCGTTCACTATGGCAGGATACGTTACCCGAGGGTCCGTCGAGGCATCCGCCCATCCGCCGGGACCAGCGACCGAAACGTGCACAACCAGTTTTTCAACAAGGACAACACCACCAACATCTACAAGGATTGATTTGCAACCCATCCTGGGCACGTTCGGACTGTGCCCAAGCAGATTGCGGACCCCAAACTGTCAGGGCGGTTATTCGACAGTTGTTCGAGGCAGCGTTCACATCTGCGGCGTCAGAACGAGGTCCCAAGCTTCTTCGGGGCTCTGCTTCGACAGCCCTGCGAGTAGTTAGCAGGGAAAAAAGGCATCCGGTGACAGAGTTGTCGGCGACGAGCAGGGGCGCAGTGGGGGGCATGGGATCTACGTTTCCAAACCCCCGAGGGTGTGCATGGAGGGCATGACGACTGGGGCGCCACAGTTTCGAGGTGCTACATGTCGGGGCCCGACCCTCCCAGTGGATCCGCAGGAGTCGCCGACGTTCCACTATTAAGCGTCCCCGGGCCCGATGCGTAAGGCATCGCACGGTGAATCCCGAACGCGCGATGCACGGCGCGCGCGTTTACGTGCATGTGCTATGCGCATGCTTAAAGTGCGCAGATGCAAGTTGAAGTCGTCTCTGAGCGAACATGGTGCAGGTTATCTGCTTGTTTTGCGCGGCGCGACGCCAAGCGGTCGTCGGCGCCATCGAGCGCGCCCCCAAAAAGAGCATGGCGCTGTCAGGGGAGGGGAGTCCCCCCCCCCTTGCGGCGGCCACGCGAACGCAGAAACGCGCATGAACAAAGCGCGCGTGCATGCGCCCGCAGGCGCGGCTGAAGGATGGCGCTGTCTGAGCCCGCGAAGAAGATTAGGTCGATCTACATCCGCGAAACACGCAGACATATCTTGTAATGCAGCGCGCCAAGCGCATGATTACATATCATAAAACAGCGACGGCGCAAGCGTGTTCGAGCGGTGCCCAGCCGCGTATCGATCTGACCAGTCTTCGAGTTGCGCCCTCGGCGTTGGTCTCCGACGCCGCGCGCGTCGGCCGCGCGTGGCGGGCCCGCGAGGGCCGCCGCGCTTCGCCCGCCCCGCCAGCCCGCCCTGCCCGCGGCGGCGTCCGCGCCTCGCCGCCGCGTCGGACGGTGACCGCGGCCCGCGCCCGAGCGGCTCGTTTCGATCGGCTGCGTTGTGCGATTGGCTTCCAGAAGCGCGGGCCAGATGCGTGCCGTTCGTTCGCGGGCCAGCGACTGCGCGACGTCGCCCCCCCCCCAAAAAAAAAAAAAACGCGTCTTCCATCTCGTTTTCCTCCTCCTCCCCCTCCCCCTCCTCCCTCCTCCTCCCTCCTCCTCCTCCTCCTCCTCCCTCCTCCTCCTCCTCCTGTCCCTCCTCCTCTCCTCTCCTCTCTTCCTCCTCCCTCCTCCTCCTCCTCCTCCTCGTCCTCCTCCTCCTGCTCCTCCTCCTCCTCCTCCTCCTCCTCCTCCTCCTCCTCCTCCTCCTCCTCCTCCTCCTCGACCCCTTCTTAAGCGTGGCCTCGCCCAGTCGCGCCCTGGGGCCAATCTTTAGGGCGGCCCGGGCGTCTCGCCTGAGATTGCCTCGCCACCCGCGACCCTGGAGCATGAGATGTGGTAGCGGTTTCGCAAATGGGGGGCGGGCCGACTTCAAAATGCGGCTCTCGCATCAGCGCCGCGCGCATTCGATTTGCACGTTTGCACCAGCTTCACGGATTGAGGGCGGGCCGCCCGCGAAATGCGGCCCTCGCTTTGCGCGCGTTGGCTTTGGACATTTGCAAGAGCTTCGTGGATTGAGGGCGGCCCCTTTTCAAAATGTCGCGCCGCGCGCATTCGTTCTAGAAATCTGCGAGAGTTTCGCGGGCCCCCATGTCCAACGCAACAGAAACTACGTTTTGGAAGGTTTCGGGGGCACTGGGGCGCAGCAGTCATGTTGATTCGCGGCGTTGAAGTCCCGGGAGCGGTTCTGGCGCGATCCAGGATCGCCCAGGCGGAGCAGTCAGCTTGATCGGCGGCATTGGAGCCCCGATAAGAATGTTTCGGCGCGTTTCTGGATCTTCGACCGGCTGTCTTCTAACGACGCAGTGCCCCCAGTGGAAATAAGCCCTCGCGGGGGCCCATGGAGGGGGGGGCTTGGGGAGTATTCCAGCATCGCTTATAACTGTTGGGTGTTTTTGGTCCTCCTGCCCCCCCCCCCCCCCCCTCCACGTCGCTTCTCCGCTCGCCCCCCCCGCGCGTTGCCTGCCCCTCCTTCCCCCGCCCCCCCCCCGCCCCCCGCCCACTAGATATAGGCCCAGTAGGTATCGCGCATGCACTGATGGTCTGGTCATCGCGAGCGCGGTTTCCCAGAGCTGGCCGGGCGTTTTTGCCGCGCCCAACTCAACGCGCCCGCGCGCGCCGCGGCCGCGAGAGTTCCCGCGGCCGCGAGACCGCCCTCGGGCCCGAAGCCTGCCCCCGCGCGCCGAAACTGATCGGGGCCCGATGATGTTTTTTTTGCTAGCCATCCAGGTTTTTCTCTGCGCGTGATCAGTTCTCGACGGCCCCGGGGCCACGGCGAACGCTTCGCCGCGGAGATCTGGGCTTCGGGCCCCCGAGGCCCGAAATTGAAGGGGGCCGCCGGGATTCAGTAAATATTTCGTCGGGCCATCGCCATTTGGAGCCCAGGCTTTTTAATTTCTGGCGCCCAGGCAACGCGCCCGCAATATTTCGCCACCCCCCCGGCGTTTCCCGCCGCCGTGGCGGGGCGGGGGCAGGTCGACCAGCGCCCGGGCCCCCTCGGGCATATCGTCCACGCCTTCTGCGAAACGGGCGCCGAGTTGAGGGGCGCTCCGAAGCAGTGCCCCCCGCGCCCTCGTCTGCCCCCCCCCCTCGCCGATCCTCCGAGGCGCCGTTCGCCGTCGGCGACCCCGAGAAGATGCGCGCCAAAGATTATTCTCTCCAATGTCAGGCGCCCCCCCCCCCGCGCTGCAGGCCTTCCAGGGCCGCCGAGTTTCTGCCGGCGCGCTCGTCTCAGCCGCGCATCAGTCTGATATTGCAAGGGACAAGCGCTGCGACGGTTTCCACGAAACCCGACGCGCTGAGACGACGCTACATGCCTCTCGCGGGCTTCGCGCGATGGCCCGGCGCTGCGCGGGGCGGCCCGTTATCTTCGCGGGTTAGCCATCTAGACGCAGCGCCGAGCCCACCAATGAGACGACGTCCGCCCCCAAGTCCCGGCGCCCCGCCCCCGGGGACTCGGCGACCAGGGGGCGCTCGCGCGAAGGGGCCGCGCGAAATTGGAGGCGATGGGGGGGGGTCGCGAAGGTCATGCACGAGCGGACCCCGGGTGGTTGACGCGAAAGTCCAGGGGGTGACGTCGTCCCTTGGGGCGCCTGGGAGATCGCGCCAGAGCTCGCGGAGGCGCCTGCGGCGCCTGCGGATTTCGAGAACAACCTGGATCCTCGCGCTAAGTTGGACACCGCGACGCGGCGCGCGCCGCCGCTGGAACCCTGGCGCGCGCGGGCAGCTGCGGCCCCCCATTGCGTCGTCAATCTGCCCCTCGCCCCGCCCCTCGGACTCGCTGGGTGGCGGCGCTGGCGCGCCCTTCTTCTTCATCCGTTGCTGCTGCTCCCCCATCTCCACGTCGCCGGCTGTGCCAGCCCGGCTCGCTGCAGGTGCGTTGCAGCGCCGTTGACGCAGGTGGACAGCAGCGTAAAGCATTGTTGCTTCTCTGGGCCGGCCAGTTCCACAGCCGCGGGGCCGCGGCAGCCAGAGAGGTCTGGTCGAGATTCTCCGCGTGGGTGTCCCGCCACTCGTCGTCGTCCTCGTCCGGGCGGGCTTTGACGAAGCTCGCTGTGCTGCCCAGGCACGGCGACCCACGTCCCAGCTCCGTCTGGCAGCGAGGCGGCGCGGCTGTCGGGGCACCACACCTTGGTTTTGGCGTCGTGGAATTCTAGCCCAACCTGGGAGAAGAGCGACGCGGCCATCGCCAAGGCTAGGTGCAGCAGAGCCCTCGGCACAGTGAAGTTAGGCGTCGTCCAAGCCCACAGCTTGCAGCGCGGGTCCAGAGCCTGAAGGTAGTCCCGGAAAGAGCAGAGCTCGGAACCGATGCCGACCTGAAAAACGCCGGGCTGCCCTCGCCCCCATTCTTCCAGACCTTCCGTGCTGACCTTCCACACTCTTGCGCTTCGTGAAACGCTGACTTTTCCTGCGTTTCCTGAGGCTCTTAATAGTTTCAATGCATCACCTTCCGCGCCTTCCGCAGAGGTCGGAAGGTATGGCAGATGGAGGTGGAGGGTGCGCGGCACCCCTGGTCGAGACTCTCCTGCTGTTCGGCCTTGCGAGAGGCCCAGCCCGCGCCGGCGGCCGCGTGGGCTGTTACCCGACCGTGCCTTTGCGCCACCGAGCATTCGAGTTCATGGCACCGCTGCCACACCCGGCGGAGTACAGCCTGGCGTCGGATTCGGGTGAAGGCGCTCTTGAGATCCAGCGAGACGAGGGCCATGTCTGGAGACTGCTCGGCCTCCGCTGAGGCGCTCTTGTGCAGCATCCCCAGCCCGGCGGGGACCCCAATGCCGTATTGCAGCTCGGAGACGGCCGTCTTGATACCACCAGACAGGAGCGTGCAGACGGCCCTCGCCACAATGCGGCGGGCTACGGTTCCGCATGCCAGCACCCTGCTTCCGTCTTTCCTGGCCCGGCTTTGTAGTCTGCCCGCGAGCGCCAAACCCAGAGCCTCCGGCGGCATGTCCCCGCCTACGAGGCGGGAGAGCACCTGGGCAGTGGCCGCTCCTTGCGACCTTATGTGCCCAAGGGGACGCCAGTGTTCTTGCCTGTCGCCCTGCACTCCTGCCCCGGAGCCCCGGGGCGTCTTCGTCCACTTGTTGGCCAAGTACGCTTGGACGTCGTCCCTGAGCAGCGTGGCGGCCGCGAAGTCCGGGCCACCCGCAAGGCCGTATCGCGGAGCAGCCTCTGGGGGGTGTTGTCGGCGAAGGCCCGCAATGTGTCTTCGCGGGTGCCCACTTGGACGGTCCCCACGCTGGGGAGGCAACCTTAGAGATATCGCCTTCCAACAGCAGGCGCCTTCCAATCTCACCTTCTTTTCCTCTTCCTCCTCCTCCTCTTCCTCCTCCTCATCCTTCTCCTCCTCCTCCTCCTCCTCAACCTCTTCTTCCCTCGTCGTCGTAGCCGGCGCCGCCGCCGCCGTCGTCTTCGACGACAGGCCACCGTGGCGGCTGCCGCCGCCGTCGCTGCCGCGTCCGCCGCAGCGGCGTCCGCCGCTGCTTCCTGCGCGTGGACCCCGCACGTTTTGGCACCGCGCGAGGAGTCCGCGGACTGCGTGGACCGCCTTGTGGCGATCGGACTCCAGTGCCCTGGCGAGGAGCGGGCTCGATGCGCGAACGGCGCGTCGTCCTGCCGGTCGTCGGGTGGGGCAGGGGGAGGAGGAGGAGGAAAGGAAGGCGGAGGAGGAGAAGGAGAAGACAGAGGAGGCTGAGGAGGAGTGAGAGGATGGGGAGGCGGCGTTGGAGGAGCAGGAGTAGGGGGAGGAGGAGGAGGAGGAGGAGGAGGAGGAGGAGGAGGAGGAGGAGGAGGAGGAGGAGGCAGAGGAGGAGGCGCAGGAGGAGGAGGAGGAGAGGAGGAGGAGGAAAAGGAGGAGGAGGAAGAGGAGAGGGAGGACGAGGAGGAAGAGGAGGCTGAGGAGGCGTGAGAGGAGGAGAAAAGGGAGGAGGGCGACGAGCAGGAGGAGGAGGAGGAGGAGGCGGAGGCGAAGGCGGAGGCGAAGGCGGAGGAGGAGAAGGAAGAGGAGGACGAGGAGGAGGACGAGGAGGAGGACGAGGAGGAGGAGGAGGATGTGGGGCATTGGGGCGACGCCAGCCGTGTGCCAAACCAGCTCGATGCACGCTGCCACACGTGCGGGCACACGAGGCAATCGCACGTCGAGTTGGTCTGTCACCAGGGCTCGAGCCAAACGTTTGTTTGCGATATCCTGGGCCGTTTTCATTTTGTCTCCGTCGTGAGGGAAAGACAGAACGAAACCAGAACGAGGGAAGACGACAATAACGCGAACTTGAAAACACTGCTTAGCTTGAGCCCTGTCTGGCACAGTGTCGTCGTCCGTTTCAAGTTCTCGCCATCCCAGGGCTGGGCGTTTGCCACGATTGCCTGGCCTGCAGCTCGGGCCCGGCGCCAGGGAGGGCGTATGTATCCCCTGAGGTCCGCGGCGCCGCGAAGCACTTGTAACAAACGCGCAGTTTGTTGCAGTGCAGATTTTCGGCGTTCGCGTTCAATGCAGCACCTGCCACATGTTGTTTGCGTTGAAGATGCTCGGCTGCTGCACTGCATTTTTTGGTTTGGGGCCCTCTCTTACCCGGTCTGTGGGGCTTGTTTGCAGTTGTCCCGCAATCAGCTGCAGCAGAGCAACTGCAGTACAGTTTGTTCGCGTTGCAGAGGGTGGCCGTGCAGTTCGTCGTTGCAGTCGCTCCATCTGGATCCCATGGTGGGTTTGCTGCCCCGTTTAGGTATCACTTGCGTTAGCTTTCCTTGAACATGCCCTCGGCCGTTACCCCGCGGATACGGGGCCCTCCGAAAAATGTTCTCAGAGCCTCCTGTGGTATGCACGAGATGCTCCTAGAACATTTTGGCTGCGACCGTCTTGTTTGAAGATGTCGGTTCCATGCTCTACGAACATTGTTCTTGTTCTAGGAGCATGTCGTGGTAGGCCTACAGGAATGCCGGGAAAGTCGACCCCTGCTGAAGGGGAGTGGTTTTCTGTTCACGGATACCCCGCGCGAAACTTATGCGTGCGACCGCGTGCTCGCGGGATCGCGCCCCATGATCCAGACCGCGAGGGCGCGGATACGGTCGCCGCTCGTGAGTTGACGTGCGGCGTTGGGTACCTGGGGGGCCCTCTGCCTGCCCCGCGGCCTGCCCCGCGCCCCGCCCCGCGACCCACCGCGGACCCTCTTTCCCGCGGGCCCCTCTCGCCGCCGGCCCCCTTGCGCGGGTGGCCGACGGCTTCTCCTCGGGGCTCCCGCGTGGGATTCGGGCACCAGGCCCGCTCTTGTGGGTGCATGTCTCTCTCTCTCTTTCTCTCTCTCTCTCTCTCTTTCTCTCTTTCCTGACTCTCTCTCTCTCTCTCTTTCTCCCTCTCGATGTTCAGTCATACATGTACATACATATATATACACTAGAACCACGCGCGCGCTTCGCGCGCGCTTAGGTTCTGTCGAGTCACAGACCCAGGAATCGTTGCGAGAAGAAATTGGTGACGCGAAGCGTCTTGGGGGCGTCCTTGGACGTCTGGGGTCTCCTGGGGCCTCTTGAGGGGCCTCCTTGGGGCCTTCTTGGGCTCCATCTGGAAGCCAAGATGGATGCAACAAGAGGGTGATTGGGCTCTCCGTGAGCTATCCTCTGGTTTTCATTCCCCTGGAGAGGAGAAGGAGGAGGAGGAGGAGGAGGAGGAGGAGGAGGAGGAGGAGGATGAGAAGGAGGAGGAGGAGGAAGATGCAGAGGAGGGAGGAGGAGGAAGGAGAGGAGATGTTGGGGCGCTCTTGGGGCCCTCTTGGGCTCTCTTGGGGCTCGTCGGGGCCCTCGTGGGGCCACCTTGGGCTCCTCTCGGAGCTCCAAGAGGAGCCCACAGAGGGGCCCAACATCGGTCACGCGAGAGCTCTTTCGCGTGACCGATGTTGGGGCCCTCTTGGGGCCCTATTGGGCCTCCTTGGGCCCTCTTGGGGTCTCGACGGGGCCCTCGTGGGGCCATCTTGGGCTCCTCTCGGAGCACCAAGAGGAGCCCAAAGAGGGGGCCCAACATCGGTCACGCGAGAGCTCTTCCGCGTGACCGATGTTGGGGCCATCTTGGGGTTCCTTGGGCCTCCTTGGGCCCACGTGGGGCTCCCTCGGGGCCCTCGTGGGGCCATCTTGGGCCCCTCTTGGAGCTCCAAGAGGAGCCCAAAGAGGGGCTCAACATCGGTCACGCGAGGGCTCTTCCGCGTGACCTATGCTGGGGCTCTCTTGGGTCCCTCTTGGGCCTGCTTGGGTCCTCTTGGGGTCTCGTCGGGGCCCTCGTGGGGCCATCTTTGGCTCCTCTCGGAGCTCCAAGAGGAGCCCACAGAGGGGCCCAACATCGGTCACGCGAGAGCTCTTCCGCGTGACCGATGTTGGGGCTCTCTTGGGGCTCTCTTGGGTCCCTCTTGGGCCTCCTTGGGCCCACGTGGGGTTCCCTCGGGGCGCCCTCTTGGGCCTGTCTTGGGGCCCTCTTGGGCCATCTTGGGCGCCTCTTGGGCCGTCTTGGGGCCCTCTTGGGCTGTCCTGGGGCCCTCTTGGAAGCTTCTTGGGCCGTCTTGGGGCGGTCTTGGGCGCCTCTTGGGCCGTCCTGTAACGTCGGAAAGCCCAAAAGACAACTTTGTTGAAAATGTACGTTTTACGAAGGGAATGGGCCAATTTTTGCGTCTAGGGGCCCTCTTGGGACGCATGTTGGAGGCTTCTTGGGGCCTCTTGGGGGCGTCCTTGGACGTCTGGGGTCTCCTGGGGCCTCTTGAGGGGCCTCCTGGGGGCCTCCTGGCGGCCTCTTGGGGCGGAAGGCTCGAGCTTGCGGTTCGTGGTCCCCCTCTGGGCCCCCTCTTGGGCCCGTCTTGGGGCCCTCTTGGGCCATCTTGGGCGCCTCTTGGGCCGTCTTGGGGCCCTCTTGGGCTGTCCTGGGGCCCTCTTGGAAGCTTCTTGGGCCGTCTTGGGGCGGTCTTGGGCGCCTCTTGGGCCGTCCTGTAACGTCGGAAAGCCCAAAAGGCAACTTTGTTGAAAATGTACGTTTTACGAAGGGAATGGGCCAACTTTTGCGTCTAGGGGCCCTCTTGGGACGCATGTTGGAGGCTTCTTGGGGCGTCTTGGGGGCGTCCTTGGACGTCTGGGGTCTCCTGGGGCCTCTTGAGGGGCCTCCTGGGGGCCTCCTGGCGGCCTCTTGGGGCGGAAGGCTCGAGCTTGCGGTTCGTGGTCCCCCTCTGGGCCCCCTCTCGGGCCCGTCTTGGGGCCCTCTTGGGCCATCTTGGGCGCCTCTTGGGCCGTCTTGGGGCCCTCTTGGGCTGTCCTGGGGGCTTCTTGGGCCGTCTTGGGGCGGTCTTGGGCGCCTCGTGGGCCGTCCTGTAACGTCGGAAAGCCCAAAAAGCAACTTTGTTGAAAAATGTACGTTTTACGAAGGGAATGGGCCAATTTTTGCGTCTAGGGGCCCTCTTGGGACGCATGTTGGAGGCTTCTTGGGGCCTCTTGGGGGCGTCCTTGGACGTCTGGAGGCCATCTTCAGCATCTCGGAGCCCTCTTGGAGGCCTCTTGGAAGTTTCTTGGGCCGTCTTGGGCGCTCCTGGGGCCGTCTTGTCTGACCGGGGAGGCCTCCGGCAAACCCCGACGAGCCTCCGGGCCCCCCCGGGGTGCACATTTGCGGTCGAGGTCCCGGCCCCGGGCCCCCGGACCCGGTGCGCCGTTATATGTATATATATATATATATATATATGTATATATGCATGCATACATGCATGCATGTATGTATGCATGTATGTATAGGTATGCGTGCGTGTCTATGTATGTATGCATGCCTGTATGTATGCGTGTCTGTATGTATGTATATGTGTATGTATGTACGTACGTACGTGTGCATACGTGTGTACGTTTGTATGCATGCATGTATGTATGGAGGCATGCATGCATGTGTGGATAAGTATGCATAGCTATGTATATACACACAAATGTTTATATAGACATGGATGTGTATGAATCAATGTATGCATGTAAGTAGGTCAGCATGTGCGCATGTATGTAAGACATCCATGTTTTTATGTATGCGTGTATGCATATATGCTTGTATGTGTGTAGGTATGCTTTTATGTTTGTATGCATGGCCTATACATGTGTGTCTACATATAACGCCGCACCGGGCCCGGGGGCCCCGGGGCCGCAGCCCCGACCACAAATGGGGGGACGTCGGGCCCAGCCCGCTCCCAAGCGGGCCCCAGGTCGGCCCCCGGAGCGCCCAGACGGCCGTCCAGGCGGCCCAAGGCCGCCCAGAGCCACCCTGAAGACAACCTCCAGCGGTCTCCGGCGGCTCAAGAGGCGTCTCGAACCGCCCCAGACGCCTCCAAGACGCTCGAAGACCCCTCCAAGAGATCCCCCCAGACGGCCCCGGGAAACAAAAATAGCCCCCTTCCCTTTGTAAAACGTGCATTTTTACTATATTCGATTTTTTGTCCTTCGTACCGTCCCTTACGACCTCAGACTCTCCCTAGACCGCCCCAAGACGGCCCACGAAGCCCACAAGATAGCCCCAAGACGGCCCCAGAGGGGCCCAGGACAGTCCAAGAGGCGCCCAGGAAGGCCCAAACGGGTCCCCGAAGGGCC